CTTCCCAATGTGTCATGTGTTCTCATTGTTAAGCTCCCACTTATAAGCAAGAACATGCAGTGTTTGTTTTTCTGTTCCTGTGTTAGTTTGCTGAGGATAACAGTTTCTTTTTTTTTGTTATAAATCCATACATTTATATATATATATTATATATTTATATTGTATATTATATATATAATTATGTTATATATAATATATTATTATTTATTATATTATATATTATAATGTAATATATAATATAAATATATAACATAATATATATAATATATATAAATATATAAAATATATTTTATTGCATTTTAGGTTTTGGGGTACATGTGAAGAACATGCAAGATTGTTGCATAGGTACATACATGGCAATGTGGTTTGCTGCCTTTGAAGATAACAGTTTCTTTCTTTGAAGATAACAGCTCCATTCATGTCCCTGCAAAGAACTTGGTCTCATTTTTCACGGCTGCATAGTATTCCATGGTATATATGTACCACATTTTTTAATCCAGTTTATAATTAATAGGCATTTGGATTGATTCCATGTCTCTGCTATTGTGAATAGTGCTGCAATGAACATACGTGTGCATGTATCTTTATAATAGAATGATTTATATTCCCTTGTGTATATACCCAGTAATGGGATTGCTGGGTCAAATGGTATTTCTGCTTCTAGATCTCTGAGGAATCACCATCCTGTCTCCCACAATGGTTGAACTAATTTACATTCCCACCAATGGTGTAAAAGCACTCCTTTTTTTCTGCAACCTCACCAGCATCTGTTGTTTCTTGACTTTTTAATAATTGCCATTCTGATTGGTGTGAGATGGTATCTCATTGTGGTTTTGATTTGCATTTCTTTAATGATCAGTTATGTTGAGCTTTTTTTCATTTATTTGTCGTGCATGAATGTCTTCTTTTGAGAAGTGTCTGTTCATGTTCTCTGCAAGGATTTCACATCTAGTAATTGACCAGGCTGAAACTTAAACCAAGTCTACTGACACCAGGAATTCCAACGCTTTCAACAGAACATTGAAAATTGAGGTGTGAAACCTTATTCCTTATTTCTTATTTCTGGAAATAATCTTGTCAATTGCTTGGGAATAGACCTACATATGACATTTTAGAAAGCTGTTATTAAAAAGTTTCTAGTAATATTTATATCTATTAGCAAAAGATAGATATTTGCCTTGTATGTTTTTCAGAGAAATAGCAAATGTATTCAGTTTTATAAATTAGGAAGAACAACACATTTTAATAAGCTATAGGAACCACCTGTTGTCTCAGTAAAAATCATGCAGTATTTTAGGCATATTTTCCTCCCACTTTTGATTAAAAGGCTACTTATACTTTTAATTAGGTTTTTGATAGAAGAGAATACCTTTGAAGTAGCATCCCAGAATTAAACTCCCAATGATGGTGTGATGAGGCAGAGGTAGCTTTTCTTCCTCAAGAGACTCAAAGTTTTATTTTCATAATGCAATGTTAAGTTTTTCTGTTGTTAAGGTAGCAAATTCTTTTGGTTTTGCTGTTATTGCAATACATTTAATTCAACATTATTCTCATTTTTTCTCAATTCTTACATGAAAAAAGTAAATACTTTTTGTGAGATATTTAATCAATTTTGACCCTTTGATATGATTCACTTTTGTCTTTAAATTCAGACATTAGTAGCAATGAAATCACTTAATGAAGAATCCTTTTGGAGAATGATGAGATGAGTACAGTTAATCTTGGAAGAAAATGTACTGACAGTTGTCAATAATGTTTCTTTTCTTCCTTCAGTTCTATGATGTGTGTTCCATGTGTGTTTCTGAAATTAGGGTATATCTATTAATGTGAATGTTGTGTTTTTACTTCCCAAAGCAGTTATTAAATTAGTGGCATGTTTTATGAATTGCATTTTAGAATCAAGAAGCCACTGTAGATTGTTCTTTGGGACACCTAAGTGGGTACAGTTGATCTACAGGAAGCATAGGAGACCCTGGATTTTCAGTTCTTGAGATGAGGTGTAGTGTCTTAGGCATTTAAAAAAGTTATTCTCAGTGGAGCTCAGCATAGTGCCTTGGAGATAGAGTGTTCCATAAATATGGATTAAATGATGAATTTACAACCACCAGAAATCAAGATTCCAAATAAGTATAGTCTTTTGAGTGGACTACAGCTATATCTAAACTAATTGCTAAAATGGCAAATGGAAAAATTTGATGCTACCCCTGCTAGGGTGAAGTCATAAAGGAATTGTGAACTGTAGCACTGTTCCTAACTAGGTAAGAGAGGAGGCATTCTGTAGAATGAACTAACTTATTGGTGTAGAGAGCTGTCAACCAAAAATTGGAGGCAGTAAAAGAAAATATTGTTAATTTGTCTATTTTGCTTTGGGCTGATTCCATAGAACTCTGTGACATGAATGGGTAATTACTGTCTGCCATTCTGACAGGAAATCCAAGTAAATTGTGAGGCAGGTATTTCTTTAAAATTTGACAATTTTTAAAGCATAATTATACAATCTTGATTTACTCACTAAACTTTTAAGCATTTGTTATAGCTATTACCAACTGTAAGTTTCTCACTAGTTTTTTCACACTGTTCTACAAGGGAGGGACTATGGCTTGATAGAAAGAACTCAGGGCTGGCTTCTAGCTGCTTTTTATGTATGGGTCTTTGGACACACAATCAACTGTGCTAAAAATACTTTGTTTTATTTGTGGCTCACTTTTCTCATCTTTAACATTTGATAATCTCTAAAGTATCTTTCAGAATCAAGGTTCCATGACCCTGTGACATTATAACCCACAAAAAGCAGTAATTTCCAATATACAATACTAGAGTCTAGGTTTCTGACAATTTGGTATGATAATAAGTGCCTTTAAACTACTGGCCATATTTAAGATACATTTTACTAATTCTGAAACATTTGGTCTTTATTCAGGAGAAACTATTTCTATTAAGAGAATATAAAATTATAAAAAATCTTAAAAGTAGAAGCTACAAGCCATAAGTAAATTAATATATAAGCAATTTTTACTCATTCATTTTATTAATTGATGATCAAAGTATAAATGAGGAACCTAGAATTGAATAAACATAGAATAACTATACAATTATTATTTGATCAAGTGACAAATATCCAAGTATCATTATTAATTTCACTTGAAAGTAAACATGTATATATACCTTAGCCAAACATATAAAACACATAATCTTTATCAAACCACCTCTGATAAATCTGCATATAAATAAATGCTTATGCATAGAAAAGCTATATAAAGGGACAAAAATAAATTTATTAGTCACTCTTTTTATTTTCTACTTTGATTAAATGCTAAAGCTACTTATGACTTTTAGTAAATATAGTTTAAAATAATTCACTGATCAATTATTTGAGGACTATTGGGAATTCACTGATCAATTATTTGAGGACTATTGGGAATGCTACTAGAGAAAGGTCTGTGGTTTAAAACTATTTTAAGTCTTTAAAATCGTAATATTTTCTGTATGAAAGAAGACAATGAAAGTAAACAATTGCTCTTTAATTATCACATAATAAGATGTTTCTGACCCATTGTGCTGGGTCTTCAGAAGTCTGTATTATTCACTGAATCCTAACTGTTGCACCTTAGAAAAGCGAGAATGAAGACCCCTGAAACTGTGACCATGACACAGTTTCTGATTGATGTTTTACAGGAGCATCTGGCTGTGTATGTGGTCTCTAGACCTCAGCTATGGAAATAAAATGTCTCAGATTCTACCTGTCTCAGTTTGTAGTTCTCATGTTGTTTACAGAACCATTCAACCAGATATGCACTTAAATATACTATCCAGTTCTGAAATGTTGCCTAAAAATCCTAGAGTAAAATAAATTGGGATAAAATTCACATCTGAATTGGTTCAAATACAAGTTTATCCAAACACAAGTGAGATATAAAAATAATGGAGATCAGGTGGTTAACTCTTTTTTCTAGAAAGGACTGATTAAAAATTGGTTTCAGATGTTTACGGAGCCAGCAATTTTATGTATTTAGATGAAGAAGGTGGGTTTACAGATTTTGCCTCCAAACAAAAGAACAATATTTATCTTAGTGTAGGACCCAGGCTTTAAATGCATTGTTTCCTTTTTTTCTATATGTAAGTCTAAAGAGGAAAAGATAGATGTAATGAATACCATGATAATTTAAGGGCTAATTACTTTTTGTACCTTGGAACAAACATGTATACTGTAAACTAAAGGGAATATTTTAAAAATTGTAACCTAAAGGGACTGTTTCTTAATGGTGCTACAAGTCCAGAAGTAAAGTATTATTATTAAAGTGTTATTATTATTATTAAAGTGCAGATGCTAGTTTCTGTAGTTTGCAGGTGTGAGAACAAACATAAATCCAAAAGAATGCTTAAAACATCAACTCATTTCTATCAGACATTAGTTCTCTTGTAGGGCTACAGGAGAAAGCAAAATAAACTCCAAGTTACTGGGTTCTCCAGTATGATGAGTACAGGTTGTCAAGGAGGTGCAGTAGAAAAGAAACAGGTGGAGTTAAATGTTAGCCCAGCTCCTAGATAACTGTTGCGGCATTAGGCCTATCACTTTTCTTCTCTGAGCCTTAGTAAACAAAGGTAATAATACTTATTTCACAGATTACATGTAATTTTACATAATGCACGTGTGCAATAAATGATAATTGCTACTCTAAAAGGTGGGGCTTAGTTATTGAAGGTATTAGATTGAACCATATAAAACTGGCATTTTTGTAGATAAAAAATAGCCGAATTTCAGACTTCACTGTAAGGTGGTACCCTCCTAGAAACCTTGAGGACACTGTTACAGTGAGGCCACAGTGTGGATGGCAAAGTCGTGCTCTTGGTGAGTTTTGAGTCAATGGTCATGGATGGCCATTTTCATTAGTGACTAGTTTATAACGTGCTGAAATAATATACATAATCATGAAGCTTAGATATCTTAGACTATCCCATTCCCTACCCATAACATTGATCAACATTTTGCATCTTGCAAAAGTTAGCATATTAAACTCATTGCATTTGCGTGCTCACACTTCTGTTCCATGCTACTAAGAGTCACAAGTACACGAGAAGAATGGGTATAAACATATCGGCACACCTATCCTTTCTAATAATACCAGTAACATAGACAATCATGTTTAGACTTGTGGTGATCTTTCCTAAAAGCGTGATTTCAGAGTATTTTCCATATTGTTGATCTCCTTCTCAGTCATTTTCCTTTGGATTTGAGGCAGACGTTTCTGGAAATTTCCACTCAGCAGGATGTAGAGAAAAGGGTTAATGCTGCTGCTGGCATAGCTGAGACAGATGGAGAGGTAATAACCCACATAGAAGGCCAGTGTGGGCTGTTCCATCTGTAAGTTCACCAGTTGTATCACATGATAAGGGGCAGCACTTAGGATAAAGACTGCCACCAGCACCAGCACCATCTTTGTCAATTTCATCACTCTCTGTTTTGGTACGCTGGGATTGCAACTGCAAAGAAAACAATCAGGTACACAGAGTATAAACAACCATAGAAATTACAGGGCAATAAGTTCCTAGAACCTTTTTGACAGTTCATAATGGCTTTGCAGTGAAATATGAAGCTCATTATTATGTTCCTACTTACTCAGAGCATTGTAATACATTCTTTTTTATTCTTGTTGAAAACTTTCCAAAGTTTCCAAAGCTGGAAAAATTTTTTTGTTGTTAAATTTTTATTTTTATTTTTTGTGGGTACTTAGTAGGTGTATATATTTATGGGATAAATGAGATGTTTTGATACAGGCATGCAATGTGTAATAATTATATCATGGAGAATTGGGTATCCATCCCTTCAAGCATTTATACTTTGTATTACAAACAATCCAATTACAGTCTTTTAGTTATTTTAAAATGTACAATTATTATTGTCTATAGTCACCTTGTTATGCTATCAAATACTGGGCCTTATTTGTTCTTTTGAGCTATTTCTTAATACCTATTAACTATTCTCACCTCACCTCCAGGTCCCCACTACCCTCCCCAGCCTCTGGTAACCATCTTTCTACTCTCTGTGTCCAGGAGTTCAATTGTTTTGGTTTTTAGATCTATAAATAAGTGAGAACATGCGACGTTTGTCTTTCTGTGCCTGGTTTATTTTGCTTAATATAATGACTTTCAGTTCCATCCATGTTTTTGCAAATGAAAGTATCTCATTCTTTTTTATGGCTGAATAGTACTCCATTGTGTATATATACTGCATTATCTTTATCTATTGATCTGCTTATGAATACTTAGGCTGCTTCTAAATCTTGGCAATTTAGATAGCCAAGCTTTTCAATTTATGTGATCTTATTTGTCCACTTTTGCTTTGGTTGCCTTTGCCTGTGGAGTAAGAAATTTTTGCTCACACCAATTCCCTGGAGATTTTCCCCAATATTTTCTTGTAGTTTCATAGTTTGAGGTCTTAGATTGAAGTCTTTAATACATTTTGATTTGACTTGTATATATAATGAGAAATAGGGTTCTAGTTTCATTCTTCTACATGTGGATATCCAATTTTACTAACACCATTTATTGAAGAGACTGTCTTTTCCCCAGTGTATATTCTTGGCAGCTTTGTTGAAAATGAGTTCACTGTAGGTGTGTAAATTGGTTTCTGGGTTTTCTATTCTTTTCCATTGGTCTATGTCCCTGTTTTTTTTATTCTAGTACCATGCTGTTTTGGTTACTGTAGTTTTATAGTATTATATAAAGTCAGGTAATGTGATTCCTCTAGTTTTATTCTTTTTGTTTAGGATATATTTGACTATTCTGGATCTCTTGTGGTTCCACATAAATGTCAAGATTGTTTTTTTCTATTTCTGTGAAGAACATCATTGGTATTTTGATAGAGGTTGCTTTGAATCTGTAGATTGCTTTGGGTAGTATGAACATTTTAACAATATTGATTCTTCCAATCAACAAACGTGGGGTATCTTTCCATTTTTTGGATGTCTTCTTTAATTTTTTTCATCAATGTTTTATAGTTTTCATTATACAGATCTTTCACTTCTTTGGTTAAATTTTTAGGTATTTAATTTTATTTGTGGCTATTATAAACGGGTTACTTTTTAATTTCTTTTTAAGATTCTTGACTGTTGGCATATAGAAGTGCTACTGATTTTTGCATGTTGATTTTGTATGCTGAAACTTTACTGAATTTGTTTATCAGTTCTAATAGTTGTTTTGTGTGTGTGCGTATGTGCGTGTAGTCTTTAGGATTTTCCAAATATAAAATCATGTCATCTGTGAACAAGGATAATTCGGCTTCTTCCTTTCCAATTTGGATGTCCTTTATTTCCTTCTCTTGTTTAATGGCTCTAGCTAGGACATCAGTATTATATTGAATAACAGTGGTGAAAGTGGGCATCTTTGTCATGTTCCAAATCTTAGAGGAAAGTCTTTCAGTTTTTCCCTCATTCAGTATACTAGCTGGTGTCTGTCATATATGACTTTTATTATGTTGATGTTGAGGTATGTTCCTCCTATACCAAGTTTTTTGAAGGTTTTTGTTATAGAGGGATATTGAATTTTATCAAACGTTTTTTTCAGCATTTGGTATTTCAACTTGATATATTGAATTTAAATGATCATATGATTTTTATCTTTCATTCTGTTGATACGATGTATTACATTGATTGAGTTACATATGTTGAATCATCCTGGAATCCCTGGGATAAATCCCACTTAGTCAGGATGAATGAGGTTTCTAATATATTGTTGAATTTGGTTTGCTGATATTTCATTGTGAATATTTACATGAATATTCATCAGAGAGACTGGCCTGTAGTTTTCTTGTTTTGATGTGTCTTTGTCTGATTTTGCTGTCATGCTAATACCAAACTTGTAGAATGAGTTTGGAATTATTCCCTGCTCCTTCATATTTTAGAATAATTTGAATAGAATTTATATTAGTTAAATGTTTGGAAGGTTTCAGTGAAGCCATTGGGCCCTGGGCTTTTGTTTCTTGGGTTTTTCTTTTTATTTTGGCTTTGATCTCATTACTTGTTATTGGTCTGTTCGGGTTTCAGATTTCTTCCTGGTTCAATCTTGGTAGGTTATAGATATACAGGAATTTGTCCATTTCTTCTAGATTTTCCAATTTAATGGCATATAGTTGCTCATGATAGCCACTAATGATCCTTTGGAATTCTGTAGTATCAGTTGTAATGCCTACTTTTTTATTTCTGAATTTATTTATTTAGATCTTCATCTCTTTTTTCTCAGTTAATCTGCTAAAGGTTTGTCAATTTTGTTTAACTTTCCAAAAAACCAGATTTTTTGTTTCATTGATCACTTGTATTTTTTTATTCCAATTTCATTTATTTCTGTTTTGATCTTTATTGTTTCTTTTATTCTACTAATTTTGGGTTTGGTTTGCTCTTGCTTTTTTAATTCTTTAAGGTATACTATTAGACTGCTTATTTGACATTTTTTCATCTTTTTTTGATGTAGGCACTTAGAGCTATAAACTTCCCATTTAGTACTGCTTTTGCTGTATCCCATAGATTTTGGTATGTTGTGTTTCCAATATCATTTGTTTCAAGAAATTTTTAAACTTTCTTCTTAATTTCTTCATTGATCTACTTGTCATTCAGAAGCATACTTTCTAATTTCCATGTGTTTGTATAGTTTACAAAATTTCTCTTGTTATTGATTTACAGTTTTATTCCATTATGGTCAGAGAAGATGTTTGATATTATTTCAATTATTTGAATTTTTAAAGACTTGTTTTGTGACCTAACATATGTTCTATCCTTGAGAATGATCCATGTGCTAAGGAAAATAATGTATATTCTGCTGCCATTGGATGAGATTTTCTGTAAATATATATTAGATCTATCTGGTCTACATTGCACATTAAGTTTAGTGTTTCTTTGTTGATTTTCTGTCTGGAAGATTTGTCCAATGCTAAAAGTGGGTTATTAAAGTTTCCAGCTACTATCGTATTGGGGCCTATGTATCTGAGTGCTCCAGTGTTGGGTGCATATATATTTTAAATTGTTATATGCCCTTGCTAAACTGACACCTTTTTCATTATATATTAACCTTGTCTCTTGTTAAAGTTTTCGTCTTTAAATCTATTTTGTCTGATGAAACTACTCATGCTCTTCTTTGGTTTCCTTTGGTATTAAATATCTTTTCCATTCCTTTTTTTTTCAGCCTATCTGTGTCTTCATAGTTGAAAATTTGTTTTCTGATCGTTTTGTGGTGTTCTCTTCCTTCATTATTTCCTTCCTGTCTTCCTTTAGTGAAGGTGATTTTCTTTGGTGATAGGATTTAATTTCTTGCTTTTTATTTTTTAGTTTATCCATCATATGTTTTCTGACTTGAGCTTGCCCTAAGGCTTACAAATATTATTTTTGATTGTTTCATTGTTTAGTCTTTCAACTTATGGCAAAAGTAGTTTACACACCACAGTTACCGTGTTACAATATTCTACATTTTTCTTGATATTTACTATTATCAGTGAGTTTTGTAACTTCAGGTGATTACTTATTGCTCATTAGTGTCCTTTTCTTTCTGATTGAAGTACTCTCTTTAGCATTTTTTGTAAGGCAGGTCTATTGTTGATGAAATTCCTCAGCTTTTGTTCATCTGGGAAAGTCTTTATTCCTCCTTCATGTTTGAAGGGTATTTTTGCAGGATATACTATTTTAGGATATAAGCTTTTTCCTTTAGTGTTTAAATATGTTATACCACTCTCTCCTGGCATGTAAGGTTCAAAGCTGGAACATTTTGAGAGACCAAATAAATAATAAAGCATTAAATTATGACTCAATGTATAAAATAAATACATCAGTCTATACTAATATGAATATTGAATAAAATGAGGAGAGAAGAGCCAGGCCTTTTTTACAGAAGAATTACAAATAATATAGGGATTCTAATATAGATGTGCCTCTTTCAGGAGATGGAGATTAATTCCCATCTTTTTGCTTCCCGCTTGAAGGTAAGCTATGTTTAGTGACTCGTTTCCAAAGAATAGAATAGAGAAAGGGATAAACAGTAGTTTCATGGTAGAGAAACCTAGCAAACACCACCTTAACCATGTAATCAAGGCTAGATAAACAGTGATATAATGTAGCTGTCATGTGACCCCTGATATACTGTGATGAGAAGAGTTGATTCTTTTCCAAAAACATATAAGTACAGTCTAATGATACAATATCAAACAACCCAGATTGGGAACATTCTACAGGATACCAGGATAGTACTCCTTAAGACTATGAAGGTCATGAAAAATAAGGAAAGAGTGAGAAATTCACAGATTAGAGGACACTGGGAAGACATGATAACTAAATGCAATGTGCTATTCTGAATTGAATCTGGAACAGATTGAGGACTTTAACGAAAAAACTAGTGAAGTCCAATAAAGAAATAGAATTTAGTTGGCCGGGCGCGGTGCCTCACACCTATAATCCCAGCACTTTGGGAGGCCGAGGTGGGTGGATCACGAGGTCAAGAGATGGAGACCATCCTGGTTAACATGGTGAAACCCCATCTCTACTAAAAATACAAAAATTACAGGCACACCTGTAGTCCCAGCTACTCGGAGGCTGAGGCAGAATTGCCTGAACCCAGGAGGCAGAGGTTGTGGTGAGCCGAGATGGAGCCATTGCACTTCAGCCTGGGTAACAAGAGTGAAACTCCATCTCAAAAAAAAAAAAAAAAAAAAAAAGAATAGAATTTGGTTAACAGTAATGTAATGCAATTTTCTTTGTTTTGACAAATGTTCTAGATGACATAAGATGTTAACAATGGGAAAACTGAGTGAGGGGTATTTGGAAACCTTGTATACATCTATACTATGTATACTATATTGCTACTATTTACTTATCAGAAATGTGAATTATTCTAAAATAAAACATATTTTAAGATTCCCATATTTAATCATGTTATTTCATATTTAGGCATTTAATGGAAATGTTTCTGGGACATGGGGGAAACAGATGAACAAAACTTGGGAATAATTTTAAAAGCATGGGAACTAAAAATCATTTGAAGACAATGATTCCCCTGCAGTTTATCAGAGTAGGCACTGTCATTCCTCTAATTTCTTGCATGTGTATGAGATTTGTTTCATAAGATCCTCTTAGCATTTCTGAGAAAAGTGTCAGAAGCGAAATGATCTGATTTGGAGAACTGTTTTAAAAAGGCTCAGGCATTCTCTCCAGCTATTGTTGTCTGATATTCCATATGATTTCATTTTAACCTTCTCACCAACTCAGCTCCCTGGGATACGTTTATAAGCTAATTTTTTTCTGTAACTGTGGCTACTTCCTTTTTCTTCCCAAATGGACCATGATTTGTTAATGTAAGACACAAAAATTAAAAGGTTGCACATAACATCTAAGATATTTACATATGCATGTAAATCTGCAGAATGAACAACAAAAACAGTTAAATAACTGTTAATAACTAATATAAAATTATTCTTGAAGTAGAATCTTGAGTTCTGTATGCATTTGAATGAAACCATTACATCAGTGATTTCAACATTTGTCACTGAGAGATTCTTAAGCAGTTTATTTATTTAGTACATGTCTTATTTTCCAAAAATTCTTTGTATAGACATATATCAATGTCCACATGTCTAAATGTGGTATGTTTCAAATCATTGTTGCCGAAGTTTTTTTTGTAGATATCTTAGGCTATCGAAATTGTTCTTTTAACAAATGAAGCAAAATAAGGCAAACACTTACCATCTGGCATCCTTATTCTGTTGATACATCTTCCAAGTGTAGCATAAAATTAAAATATAGCACACCAAAATCAAGGGTAGAGGGAAAAAAAAAGTTGTTATAGTCAAATAAAGTGTATACCTGTAAAATGAGAGAGAGAGAGAGAGAGAGAGAGAAAGAAAGAGAGAGAGAGAGAAGCACCACCATTACATTAATTGAATTAGAAATTGGCTTTTGCAGTTTCCAAGGTATGATTCTTTCATTTTTCAGAGTCCAGGATATAAGTCCTCATGGAAAAGCTCAAGATCTTTGGTTGCTTTATTGTAGAGAGGCCCTGATCTTCATCGTTCACTAACAATGCTTGTCTCTTCTCTAGCCAAACCCAGCTGTACTGAGTGCAGAATAGGTGAGGCTACCTATTATTACTCTTCAGTGTTTAACAGTAACAGGCAACAGTATGTAACTTTTATTGTATAGTAGCCACTGCTCTAAGCATTTTGTATATCTTTACCCATTGAATCTGTGAAACCCCATGAGTATGATGTCATTAATACCCTTACATTACAGAAGAAAAAACTGAGGCGCAGAGGGGTTAAGTGGCTTCCCCAAGATTACCCAGCAGTAACTGGCAGGGGTAAAATTTGAACCCAGGCAAGCAATAGGAGGTTGGATTGTCAGGTCAGTCCACTCCATTTCTGCACAGATGTCAAGTATCCTCTTTCCTGATGGAATCTTAGTCTCAGTGAAAGGAGGTAGGCCCAATTTGTGTGGGTGTGGCAAGAATGGCAAAGGGAGCACCTGGGACCAGAGGGAACCTGAATGCAACACAGTTGTTCCAACTTCAGTTTAACTTAAAGACTTAACTCTAGGAGGAATAAGAGAGGCTGCAACCTCTGAATATCTTTGACAATGACCAACCAAAAATAGGAGAAGCAGAAGCAGATGTTAGTGCAAAATAGCACACCTTTTTTGTTGTTATTGTTTGTTCCTTTGACACAGGCCAAACTCATATAATCATATAGCCAGCCTCAGGTTGGGACCCATATTTACCTATTAACACTAGTGATTAAGAACCTCTTCACTTTTCAATTGGCTGATGGCTTTTGTCTGTGAGGATAGCCAATGCTGGTGGGAGAAATATGAATAAACAATCATATCTATGTTTCTTTTAAATAATTTTCACTGATGCATAATAGATATACATTGTTTCAGAGTATATGTGATAATTTAATACATTCATATAATTTGTAAAAATCAAATCATTTTTGGAATATCATCTTAAATATTTGTCTTTTTTTTTCTGTTTTTTTTTTTTTTAATTGCATTTTAGGTTTTGGGGTACATGTGATGAACATGCAAGATTGTTGCATAGGTACACACATGGCAGTGTGGTTTGCTGCCTTCCGTCCCCTCACCTGTATCTGTCATTTCTCACCATGCTATCTCTTCCCACCTCCCTACCCCCCGCCCCTCCCCCATTTCTCCCCAACAGACCCCAGTGTGTAGTGCTCCCCTCCCTGTGTCCATGTGTTCTCATTGTTCAACACCCACCTATGAGTGAGAATATACGGTGTTTGATTTTCTGCTCTTGTGTCAGTTTGCTGAGAATGATGGTTTCCAGGTTCATACATGTCCCTACAAAGGACGTGAACTCATCGTTTTTGATGGCTGCGTAATATTCCATGGTGTATATGTACCACATTTTCCCTATCCAGTCTATCATCTTTGGGCATTTGGGTTGGTTCCAGGTCTTTGCTATTGTAAACAGTGCTGCAATGAACATTCGTGTGCACGTGTCCTTGTAGTAGAATGATTTATAATCCTTTGGATATATACCCAGTAATGGGATTGCTGGGTCAAATGGGATTTCTATTTTTAGGTCCTTGAGGAATCGCCACATTGTCTTCCACAATGGTTGAATTAATTTACATTCCCACCAACAGTGTAAAAGTGTTCCTATTTCTCCACATCCTCTCCAGCATCTGTTGTTTCCAGATTTTTTAATGATCGCCATTCTAACTGGTGTGAGATGGTACCTCAATGTGGTTTTGATTTGCATTTCTCTGATGACCAGTGATGATGAGCATTTTTTCATGTTTATTGGCCTCCTGTATGTCTTCTTTTGTAAAGTATCTGTTCATATCCTTTGCCCATTTTTGAATGGGCTTGTTTGTTTTTTTCTTGTAGATCTGCTTTAGTTCTTTGTAAATTCTGGATATCAGCCCCTTGTCAGATGGGTAGACTGCAAAAATTTTTTCCCATTCTGTTGGTTGCCGATTCACTCTACCGACTGTTTCTTTTGCCGTGCAGAAGCTGTGGAGTTTGATTAGGTCCCATTTGTCTATTTTGGCTTTTGTTGCCATTGCTTTTGGCGTTTTGGTCATGAAGTCCTTGCCTACACCTATGTCCTGAATGGTTTTGCCTAGATTTTCTTCTAGGGTTTTTATGGTATTAGGTCTGATGTTTAAGTCTTTAATCCATCTGGAGTTAATTTTGGTGTAAAGTGTCAGGAAGGGGTCCTGTTTCTGCTTTCTGCACATGGCTAGACAGTTTTCCCAACACCATTTATTAAACAGGGAGTCCTTTCCCCATTGCTTGTTTTTGTCAGGTTTGTCGAAGATCAGATGGTTGTGGGTATGTTGTATTTCCTCTCAGGCCTCTGTTCTGTTCCATTGGTCTATATCTCTGTTTTGGTACCAGTACCATGCTGTTTTGATTACTGTAGCCTTGTAGTATAGTTTGAAGTCCAGTAGTGTGATGCCTCCTGCTTTGTTCTTTTTGCTTAGGATTGACTTGGCTATGCAGGCTCTCTTTTGGTTCCATATGAAGTTTAAGGTGTTTTTTTCCAGTTCTGTGAAGAAGGTCATTGGTAGCTTGATGGGAATAGCATTGAATCTGTAAATTACTTTGGGCAGTATGGCCATTTTCACGATGTTGATTCTTCCTAACCATGAACATGGAATGTTTCTCCATCTGTTTGTATCCTCTCTTATTTTGTTGAGCAATGGCTTGTAGTTCTCCTTGAAGAGGTCCTTTACGTTCCTTGTTAGTTGTATTCCTAGGTACTTTATTCTCTTTGTAGCAATTGTGAATGGCAGTTAGTTCTTGATTTGGCTCTCTTGAAGTCTATTACTGGTGTATAGGAATGCTTGTGATTTTTGCACGTTGATTTTGTATCCTGAGACTTTGCTGAAGTTGTTTATCAGTTTCAGGAGATTTTGGGCTGAGATGATGGGGTCTTCCAGATATACAATCATGTCATCTGCAAATAGAGACAATTTGATTTCCTCCTTTCCAATTTGGATACCCTTTATTTCTTTTTCTTGCCTGATTGCTCTGGCTAGAACTTCCAGTACTATATTGAATAGGAGTGGTGAGAGAGGGCATCCTTGTCTAGTGCCAGATTTCAAAGGGAATGCTTCCAGTTTTTGCCCATTCAGTGTGATATTGGCTGTTGGTTTGTCGTAAATAGCTTTTATTGTTTTGAGATACGTTCCGTCAATACCTAGTTTATTGAGGGTTTTTAGCATAAAGCATTGTTGAATTTTGTCAAAAGCCTTCTCTGCATCAATTGAGATAATCATGTGGTTTTTGTCTTTGGTTCTGTTTATGTGGTGAATTACGCTTATGGACTTGCGTATGTTGAACCAGCCTTGCATCCCCGGGATGAATCCTACTTGATCATGGTGGATGAGCTTTTTGATATGCTGTTGCAATCGGTTTGCCAGTATTTTATTGAAGATTTTTGCATCTATGTTCATCATGGATATTGGCCTGAAATTTTCTTTTCTTGTTGAGTCTCTGCCGGGTTTTGGTATCAGTATGATGTTTGTCTCGTAAAATGATTTGGGAAGGATTCCCTCTTTTTGGATTGTCTGGAATAGTTTCAGAAGGAATGGTATCAGCTCCTCTTTGTATGTCTGGTAGAATTCAGCTGTGAACCCATCTGGACCTGGGCTTTTTTTGGGTGGTAGGCTCTTTATTGCTGCCTCGACTTCAGACCATGTTATTGGTCTATTCAGGGTTTCAGCTTCTTCCAGGTTTAGGCTTGGGAGGATGCAGGTGTCCAGGAATTTATCCATTTCTTCCAGGTTTATTAGTTTATGTGCATAGAGTTGTTTGTAATAATCTCTGATGATGGTTTGGATTTCTGCGGAATCTGTGGTGATATCACCTTTATCGTTTTTTATTGCATCAATCTGGTTATTCTCTCTTTTCTTTTTTATTAATCTGGCTAGTGGTCTGTCTATTTTGTTGATCTTTTCAAAAAACCAGCTCCTGGATTTATTGATTTTTTGAAGAGTTTTTTGTGTCTCTATTTCCTTCAGTTCTGCTCTGATCTTAGTTATTTCCTGTCTTCTGCTAGGTTTTGAGTTTTTTTGATCTTTCTCCTCTAGCTCTTTCTATTTTGATGATAGGGTGTCAATTTTAGATCTCTCCTTTCTTCTCATGTGGGTACTCATTGCTATATATTTTCCTCTAGAGACTGCTTTAAATGTGTCCCAGAGATTCTGGTATGTTGTGTCTTCGTTCTCATTGGTTTCGAAGAACATCTTTATTTCTGCCTTCATTTCATTGTTTATCCAGTCAACATTCAAGAGCAAGTTGTTCAGTTTCCATGAAGCTGTGCGGTTCTGAGTTAGTTTCTGCATTCTGAGTTCTAACTCGATTGCACTGTGGTCTGAGAGACTGTTTGTTATGATTTCTGTTCTTTTGCATTTGCTGAGGAGTGATTTATTGCCAATTATGTTGTCAATTTTAGAGTAGGTGTGATGTGGTGCTGAGAAGAATGTATATTCTGTGGATTTGGGGTGGAGAGTTCTGTAAATGTCTATTAGGTTTGCTTGTTCCAGGTCTGAGTTCAGGTCCTGGATATCCTTGTTGATTTTCTGTCTGGTTGATCTGTCTAATATTGACAATGGGGTGTTAAAGTCTCCCACTATTATTGTGTGGGAGTCTAAGTCTCTTTGTAAGTCATTAAAAACTTGCCTTATGTATCTGGCTGCTCCTGTATTGGGTGCATATATATTTAGGATCGTTAGCTCTTCTTGTTGCAGTGATCCTTTTACCATTATGTAATGTCCTTCTTTGTCTCTTTTGATCTTTGTTGCTTTAAAGTCTATTTTATCAGAGATGAGAAT